TAATAAATAAGGCTTATAACATTATGCATGTTATGTGACTATTTTGTGATTTTTTATATCGTGTGATTTGTTTATAAAGGAGTTGATGGAATAAATAAACGTTCACCTATCAATTTCGAACATTGAACAAGGTTATATATTTCTCCAAACCCAATTCAACTTATAACCAATTGCACAAGTACAACTTTAAACTTTGGCCAAATATTTACCATAATCGGTTTACTGAGGAAGGAAGGCTGTACGAGTAAACATTTGCAAAATGTTGCCCGGGGTGCAACATAAACATGGTCGGCAAACATACCCATGTTGGCCTGTGGGGAGGAATTTTGTAGTGGCACAGGGTATAGTGAGCTCAGCCGGTCATATGTACACAATGTATCCAATCATACACCAGACTAAGACTGATTCTAGGCGAACGTCGCTTCTTAATCAATTTTGATTCGACAAATACCTTATGCCTATGCTAGTTGGATTTAAATTATCAGGTTTTCATGGTTGGTAACATTGTCAAACGCAACACATTTTATTAACGAAAAACGACATAATATTTAGCGTAATGTTATAGTTTTCACACACTCGCATATACGCGTAAATTTGTCATACTTTTCGTCAATCGAAAATAACTTTAAGGTATTCTTCCAATAGGTATATGAAATTTATTGCAAGTTTTATGCGTGGTTTAATCCATACGTATCTTTGAATTATAAGTACTTAGTTGATCCAAAACTATATATATATTTATGTGTTTATTTCAATCTAAAAATAAAGAATGTACCGTACTGAAAACTTAACCCTAAAATAAGAGATTCCTTAGTTATTCGACAGCAGAGCACTCGAACGTAATCTGAAAATCTGAAAATGCACTTGAAAACAGGAATTATATTTTATGATAAAGACAAAAACCTAGTTGCAAGGTGCCTAAAAGTAAATAATTATTAAACTGAATAGTTAGTTTAATGATATAGACAAAAAGTTAAGATCACACAATAGTATATTTCATCACTAAGGCCTAAAGTAACTCTTTTTGACCCGAGGTCAAGTTTTCAAAAAATGAGCTAGGGTCAAAAATACACTTTTTGCTCGTGTAGTGAACGATATTTTTCGTCATATTACATCTTTAATTAACAAACTAAGCTAGAAAACGAAATAACTTTAATGTAAAGATAACCTCTCAAAACAACTTCCAGCTTTTTTTTATTCTGCTAATGCAAATAAGCAACTGCTTGGTAAGTGATTCATTAATTTCTTCTATTACGATTGTGTTACAGTACATTATACCATCGATCTGTCGAACGATCGACTGCAATAGGCTAAAACTTTACCTAATAAATCAATCGATAAATCATTTCTAACGATACAATTGCCTCAATCTTAATTTACAAGACTTAATTTACAGACCCGAAACGTATGCATTAAAAACTGTTTTTTTGTTGCAGTGTGACAAATAAAACATTTTTTAGCGAAGAATATTCCGAATAAGTAAATGAATTTAGACTAAGATTCTACAAAAAAATCTACATTATTTTGTCAATATTTTGTGCGGATATTTTCTACAGGCTACTTACGCTTCATTGACAACATGCATCGCATTCAAATGGAACGAATAATCATATAATGATGATAAATTGAAATAAAAAAAACATACAGCTTTCAAATAAAATTAATAAGAAAATAACTAAAAAACAATACCCTCGGTCGTATAATGTCTAAAACCCTATTACTAATTTTGTATTCTAAAAGTGCTCCAACGCCCCTGTTAAAATACACCCCAGTTTTTCCAATAATAATATGAGCAACCTATTGCAAATATATACTAGTTTCGATATAATTTTGTCGTAGTCCAAAAATTATAGCGTTACGTTATTTTCTCCCTTGACTTATACAGTATTAAGACAAAGACAGACATTGTACACGTGCTGTGTATAGACCACGAATATTGGAACAGAAATTGCATGGATTATAAACATAAACAAATTACGTCACTGTCCCAAACGCCTATCCTAACAGCTTTTAACAGTTCGTTTGACAGTTAAAATATAATATTTACTTTCGGCACAGTGGCATAATTTGTTTATGTTTATAATTCACGCCATTTCTATTGTAATACTCTTTCTATTGTTCTTTCTATTGTAATACATATAGATTTAAAGTAAGTGTGGGTGGAAACGAGCATGATTCATAACTTTTTACTATACTCTTTTCAATTGACTACATATTGAATACATTGCATCACTGTGAGTTTATTTAAGCTTATTTAATTGCAGTGATGAGTGCAGAGTAGAATTAGATGAATTGTGCTTTAACAGAATGAGATAATCTTTTTCATTAATATTACTTAAATCAAGGAGAGAGGCCTGTATCGAACCATCGAAACTTTTCTCATTTACATATTCTTATTTCACCCACAACACCATTTACGGTGCTATTTCCAAAGTCCACTACACAGAGAAACCCATCGAAGCCCATCAAAACTCACATTATTGGCAAGCGGTCCTGCTATTGTGACAGAGCCAGAATAAATATATAGTCGGTTGGAGGATAACCACATTACTACATAATGCAGATATTCACTCTGCCGTTGGAGGGCTTGAGAAAACATCTCAGCAGCGTCGCAATATTCAAAGAAAACACAACCAAGAACCAGAATAAGACTGGGTTATTGTGGTATTGTAGGGGTGGAAACACACTTAGGGTAAGCTCTGTGGCGTCAGAGTTAGCCGTCTCTGGGGTAGAGATTACCCCCCCCCCCCCCCCGGAGGAAATCAGGACTGGGAGTTGATTATTCTTCTATCGGTTTAATATTCAGATTTTACGTGAAATACATCTTTACAAAGTGGTATGGGGATTGCGTTAAATTTAATTATTGTGCACAACTTCTATTCTAAAAATAGAATTAAAGATTATTGGCTTGTAATATACTTAGGGTTGAATCAAAGAAATGTTTTAATCACAAAATGCTTATCAAATGTTTATAAATTATTACTTAAGTGTGAAATTTATTTTCTTTTGGCACATGGAGTAGTTTAACAGTACTTACTTCATGCATAACCCTGCAATTGTCTTCGTATCGATAAAATTTTTGTTTGTTTTTGTTTACGTAATATGTTGAGTAACAGTTTAAAAGTAAAATTATAGAGGGATAAATAAAATAGACTGTCGAAAAACATTTAAAGTTTCCAGGATTTTTACTTAGGTTATTTCAAACCAATATAAAAATTAACAAGCTGAAGACAAATATTATGGACCCATAACATATAATTACCCATAATATAATATTAACAGATATCCACAACAAATTCTCAACCCCTCTCCTATCCATGGTAGTAAGCTGGTAGTCCTATCTTATTCGGCAATTACGTTATACTGACATTCTAATTTGCCATACGATAACTTTTAGTTACACCATATTTGCTATCCCTAATACAGTAGAACCTTCATAACAAGACTTTCATGGGGATTACAAAATTAGTCTGGTTATCAAGGTTGGCTTCTTATTGAGGTTTGCAATAACATGTGTTTAGAGGTAAAATAAATTCAAGGGGATTTGAAAAATACACTTATTATAAAGAGTGACTTGTTATCGAGGGTCTTAGGTTCCAGTGTACAATGAAGTTTCGTTTCTATTATTCTCGGTCAATTTCGATATTTCGTAAAAAAATTATTTGCTGACATAAAATATCGTGGTAATTATTGTTTACACTGTCTCTCAATCGTCATATCATACTACTAATTACATTTATGTTTTACTTGGTCAGGGTGATTCAAAAAGGACTTTACAGCTTTGAAAATTCATATAAATCTTATTAAACAAGGTACCGAGCTGGTTTTGGGGTTGTTTTAAAGGAAAACACAAGTTTTTTTGCATTAAACTAAAGATGTTCTATGTGACTTCCGTTGGATTTGGGGAAAATAATTATTTAGGTATGAAAAATAGTGAAAACCGTTAAAAATTTGAGAGAAATTTACAAATTTTTGAAAGTAGGGCGATATTTGACGGTGAAGGAGTGCGTTACACCCACTTCTAGATGTGCTAGGGAGTTTAAATTTCGCACACTTGTAGTTCTTGGTCCCAAACCACCCATAAAATTCCAAAAAGTCACATTTTCAAATTTTAACCCACCCAAAAATTTAAAATGGCGGCCTCTGAAAACGACAAAACACGTTTTTTTTTTAACGGCTACAGCTCAAAAACGGTAAGAGCTAGAAAAGATTTGAGGAAAAAACGTAGGTTCGGAATTAAATTTCCTACAAGACACTAATTATGCGTTTTTCAAAAATCGCACTCCTTCACCGTCAAAAAACGCCCTACTTTCAAAACTTTGTAAATTTCTCTCAAATTTTTAACGGTTTTCACTATTTTTTCATACCTAAATAATTATTTTCCCCAAATCCAACGGAAGTCACAAAGAATATTTTTAGTTTAAGGTAAAAAAACTTGAAGTGTTTTCCTTTAAAACAACACCAAAACCAGCTATGTACCTTGTTTAATAAGATTTATATGAATTTTCAAAGTTGTAAAGTCCTTTTTGAATCACCCTGTATTTCGGTCTGGCATAGAGTAATTGTTAATTTTTATCGTATACTATGACCTCCTATGATTGCACTCATACAAATTATTTTTTTTCATAGATATATTATATATTCTCGTAAACTAATTAATCAATTTCATTTTAAAATGCCTTTCCGTTCTACTTCCATTCGTTGACCGACCTCATAATCTAATATTTCAACTACAATTCTCATCCAGTAATAACATCGATAAACACACACTCCCTTAGTTTATGGTTATAGTTCTGTTGGTTAGTCTATGGTAATAATTTAGCGAAGTTTTCAGACCTCCAATACTGTAATGTGTTTAATATATTAATTTTTAACTACTCAAGCCATTTGGATTTGTTAAGTCAGACTTTGTGATTTTTAGGAAAAGTTGTTCATTCCTTGAATCTCATACGAGTTGGTATTTGATTTTCAATATTTTCTCACGCTACTGGTTGTTCCAGCCGTATACCCCGGCCTCTATCCCAACTACATGTCCCAGGCCGCTGCCGCTGTGGCGATGGCCGTCTCTCACCAGTCCGCACCGCCGCCCAAGAGGAAGCGACGACATCGGACAATCTTCACCGAGGAACAACTTGAGCAGCTGGAGGCGACCTTTGACAAGACTCACTACCCTGACGTCGTCCTGAGAGAGCAGCTTGCGCTCAAGGTCGACCTCAAGGAGGAGAGAGTGGAGGTAGGGGGAGTTTGGAAATATTTTACATAAGACTTTTTTTGGTTTCATAGAATCTGCAGCAGTAAAACTGTAGAATCTTGGTTCCGTCAAAACTGATGAAAATATCAACGAGTTTCATATGTGAAGCAAATCTTGGAGGGTAAAGAGATTTAATGCTGAATTGTAGCTTGTCTCAAACATGGATTGTTAATTCATCTGATTGTGGGTTACAATCCTCATCAGTTTAGTGACAAACGAGTTTAACCCTCCGAAACCAAGATTTGAAAGACCTCATCCACCGTAAAAGCTGCCTTCTTGCAGTAAATACTTTTTGACCGCTTAAACATTGAATTTGCATAATATGCTATGAAATATGAATGAATGAAAATACTTTATTGAGGCGAACGTAGGACCTCAGGGTCCTTTCTTGCAGTTAACCTCTACTAATATACGGTGTGGTTAAAAAATCCCAGCACAATGGTTGCCATTCCTCTTGACTCTGGTAATCATCTTAGAAAACAATCTCTTTCCAGAAAGTTAATTCCGAATTCGTGTTTCCAAAACAAAAGAGCAAACACCTGACAGCGCAAACACATGATTGTCAGCAATCTCGCTCAGCAAGTCAAATAAAAGTCTGGATTGTTCAGCGACGACGCTCTGAGGATCAAACTAGAGCAATCGGAATAAAATATGAACAATGCTGCAGGGGGAAACCTGCGTGGGCTGGTAGAGAGGGGAAGGGGTGTTGTTTGGGTCTTGTGAATAAATCAAAACGCGGCTAAGCGCTAGTCAATTTGGAGCGATATTGCTGTTTGTTTGCAGATGTAGCGTAGCAACACACGGTTCCCGCCAGTTTCAATATTCCCGGGCAAAAATGGCGCCTCATCTCCCGTCGCTCTCTTGATTTCGTCGAGTCTTATTGCAATATGGAATTGTTTCGTATGACGTTTTGAGCCGATATGGTTCTCTGAAATTGTTTTCCATAGAAAGTAGTTTCTCGAGATACACATTCGTATATTTGAATTTGGAGGAATATGAGGAAACTTTACGAGGTAGATGTGAACTGTTATGATTTTGCGAAACAAAATAAACTACAGTAAGATAGTCCAATTATTTCACAATAAATTTGTTATAATCAAATTTACAATCTGCATTCGGCCGTCGGACTGACATTTGTTAACACCTCATTCCTACCAAAACGTTTTGTTCATAAATATATAGAATATTTTATTAAAATAAAATAAACACTATTTACAAAAAGATGAATAATACTCTCTGTAGAAAAAAATAAAAACAATTTAGAAGAATGTGTATTTGCATAAACAATTCGCCGATGATGTAAACTAAAAATTAAATGTTATTTCATCGTGTCCTCGCTTTAAATCATACCAAAATATCCAATTACAATAAACCGTTTTACAAATAGTTAGTCTTTCTCTCTATGATATCAGTGTGGGAGTTTTCTTCTACCAACGTTGATTATGGTTACTTCTACATCACAACAAAATAATCCAGTAACCTCTACGTCGTTAAGATATTTGGAACTACATACGTTACAACAACTTATACATTGGTTTCGTATTTATAAACACATTTACTAGTTGACTGAGTGGTAGCGTCTTGCGTTGATTGCAGATTGCAAATTTGCGATTGACCGCTTCTTATCACCAATATGATTTACCATACGAATAGCTCATGTCACTCTTACCGTAACGATTCTTCTCTGTATTTAGATACCATTTCTATATAATAAATGTATGGTGGTGTAAATATAAATTCAAAACTGTGTCGAAAACACACACATTGTGTGAAAGCAATCTGAATTCAGCCATATCTAGTCCTAGTCAACTATAATCTAACTATATCGCTAAATTCTGACTCATTTACTAGTAACACTGATTCAGCCAAACATCAATGTGATAGTCTACCAAAACATAATAAATCGTTAGCCATAAAAATTTTTTTATGTCAAAAGACATAGGTGGTTTCTGTTTATTTGAACATGAAAATACAGAAATAATTTAGTTGAAATTGTATACAATAATTAGGTCTTTTTGGTCTTGAAATCCATTTGAAACCAAGGTGTCAAAGATTCGATGTGTAGATTTTGGAAGCAAGTACAAATGATCTAATAAAACAAAAAATAAATTTGTTAACTAATTCATCGAACTAAATCTGATTTCTGTAATCAATGGTAAATATATCACATTTAATCTTTCTCTTCAATGTGTTCACCTCATTGCAAAGCATGAGAGAACGACTAGAGGTAACCTACATTTCAACATTCATTCAGTCATAAAGATATTGATTTGGTTTTACCATATATTATAATTAAACAAAATCGAGCCAAACCGGAGAGAATTTTATAGCATTAAGGCGTTCAGTTGAGTTGTGTTTATAATCAATGTTGGTTGTGTGGTGACTACTTTAACATAATATATTAAAATCCAAAATTATGTGGATCTTCATTTCGAGTCCCCAGATGCAAACGCGGATAAAAACTTTGTAACAATAATTCTATAGTAATACCGTACTTTCAACAATTCTACCTCAGGTTCTATGTAGTGCTCAAGATTCGGAGATGAGCAGGAAAGCTTTAAATCTGTGTTGACTCTGTAGGTTTGAACAGTCGCCACGGACGAGCGAAGCGTCGAATTTGCCCTTCACTCCAATGTCGGTCGACCAAGACGCAGGCCTATACAAACATCAAACATCTTGCTCAACTTGCCTCTGATCTTCGCTGACGTTGCATCGGGTGGGGGGTTTTAAGAAGTTTTTTAATTTTTTGTTTGTTTTTTTATTCTAGCTTTTAGACAATGTTTTTCACAAAGTTCTACATAATAGTTTTTCCAATAATGCGGTTGTTCAGTGATAACGTATTGGGCGTGTTCGAAACAGCACTTTACACCGTACATAACAGCATATATACTTCTTTTAATCTATGATATCAGTAGTCCACGATAACAGAGAGTTGAGGTTAAAAAAGTAGGCTACTCGAAAATTCTTTAATAACGATAACCTAATATTTTGCGGGAATAACATCTTTTTACGGCATTACTGTAGTTTTGGTAGGTATAGAAAATAGGACTCTGACCCTAGCGGAGTTCCAAGGTATATGGCTAAATCTTGGTCTCCAAGGCGAAAACGTTTTAGCGAATTTCCCTATAGGGAAGTAAATACTGTATTGCCGTAGGTGCAACGGTAAGACATAGGCTTGGCACCGATTTACGTTTTCATTTTGATGTCCCCAGATGCCAAAAACACTATTAGTTCATTTTTTAATTAATTTATATACAGGGTGACCGTTAAGTATTAGGACGACTTTATAACTTCTAAACAACAAACGATATCACAACCACATTTGGTATATCGTTACTGGAAAATGTAAGCTACTTTTCTGTGTATATGGTGGTCGAATATCACCTTTGGGGGGCGGCCCGTCAGGGGTCAGAAGAAAGTCTTTAATGACAGCCTATGTTGAGTTGTACATCATTTTAAAGGTCTACTTCAACTGAAAACTATGCCGCAAACCGCACTTCAAAAGGTTGATCCTGCGCAAAATGGCAGATGTTCAAAGATTTTCAAAATTAGCCAATCTATCTATCTATATATTAATAGGCAAGCATGTTTCTTTAAAACCTTTTTTCTCAGCTCGTGTGCATCGTAGGGAAAATCTACGCATACTGTTAGAAAGCTTTTTTCCTGTAGGTGTGCAGAATCCCTTTATAAATTTAAATAGGCTCAAAGATAAGCACAAAAAATGAGTTTAAAGATTTGAAAAAATTAACATGGATCTTACGCGTTGCCATGCTGGTGACGAAATAACAACGAAATATAAACAGGAAATCAAAACAAATGGAAGAAACTCCAATCACATGTTTTATTTACAGTGTGGGGTGAAAATAGAGAAGTGAGTACATTACATATTTTTGGTCGAGTTTCGACCACTGGACGACCTCTCGTTTCTTTAAATTAAAACACTTTTTTAAAATCCTTAAACAACTGTCATTTTTTAACGAATGGTCCTTTTGAAGTACGGTTTGCGGCATTGTATTCTAATAATAAATACCTTTAATTTGATGTGCATATCAACCTATGCTTCCATTCAAGATTTACTTCCGACTCCTTGTGGGCCGTCGCCCTGAAGAGTTATTTGGATCACTGAATGTGAAGTTGCACACATATAATATGTTATATAATATAATATGTTGAAACATATTGTTCGGTTTTTATGGGGATCATTTTAAAGGGAATTTTAAGCAAAGAAGAATGCAGCAAACCGTACTTCAAAAGGTTGATCCTGCGCAAAATGAAAGTTGTTTAAAGATTTAAAAAAGTGTTTTAATTTAAAGAAATTGGCTAATTTTGAAAATCTTTGAACATCTGCCATTTTGCGCAGGATCAACCTTTTGAAGTGCGGTTTGCGGCATAGTTTTCAGTTGAAGTAGACCTTTAAAATGATGTACAACTCAACATGGGCTGTCATTAAAGATTTTCTTCTGACCCCTGACGGGCCGTCCCCCAAAGGTGATATTCGACCACCATATACACAGAAAAGTAGCTTACATTTTCCAGTAACGGTATACCAAATGTGGTTGTGATATCGTTTGTCGTTTAAAAGTTATAAAGTAGTCCTAAGACTTAACGGTCACCCTGTATATGTCCCCGTGAACGCGATAACTCCAGTAATTTAGGTCCAATTTTGATGACATTTGGTTCAAAGGTGTAAGGCAGGATAAACTTGACTAAGTTTGCGAACCAGCATAATTGGGAAATAAAAATGAGTTTTTTGAATTTAGAAATTTCCAAAAATTAGTTTTTTTTCAAGTTTTTACCCTTAATACATGGAAATGCCAATTTTGATGAAGACAATCTTGAAGAAATAAAACATAGTATATTGAAACGTTGTTGTAAAATTAAAGGTTACGTAGAAAATAATAAAATTTACATTTTAATTCCCATGCAATTCTTATGGAGGAAGGAAAACTGTGGCAGTTGTTTATAGATTATAATATTTGTTT